ACAATGTCAGCCTAGAAATCCAACGCAGGATAACTCTTGCCAACAGGTGCTACTTCGGACTGAGTAGGCAATTGAGAAGCAAAGTCCTCTCTCGATAAACAAAAACAAAACTCTATACGTCACTCATATTCGTAATTCCAGTCGAGCTATATCGTGCAGAGGCTTGGACAATGACAACAACGGATGATTCGACGTAGCGAGTTTTCGAGAAAAAACTTCTGCGAAACATTTATGGTTCTTTGCGCGTTGACCACGGCGAATATCGCATTCGATGGAACGATGAGCTGTCCCATTCTTTAGTTAGCATAAATACGAGAAATCCATTGAAAATAATACTATCAGTCAATTCATCTTATGACATATCTAAAGGAATTACAAGTTTTTTTATAGGCCAATAAACCGATTAATATATATGTCGAATACCTCAAAGCCATTTCCTTAATTCCACACCCTTCCAGGGTGGCACATGTGGCTATATTTCGTGGTCGATTGCACAATTCTCATTTATACCGTTACATTTTCAGCCGTTCTTTTGTGTACCTCGCGCAAAAGCTATGTAAGTGTAGATATTTGCTTATAACGCTCACCACCGCAACGGCATGTAATAGATAAAGAGGTCTATGAACCTAATACTTAGACCGTGTTTAAGCTTGAGTATATAGGAAAGTGCGACAAACCAGACAAATAGCGGCACATCGACGGCTTTGAACTTAGACTTGAACGGAGAAACGGTCGAAGACGTCGAACTTGTAAGGCTTTTCCTCACTGAGTACGTGGTTAGGGAGGAAAATTATAAAAAGGGCTTGCAAATGTTTTTGTATTTATTTTTATTGTAGCGAAATCCAATTGCCGTAATTGTCGGCATACGATAAAGCAACAAAAATGCAAAAATAAAACAATATACTAATAAAGAACGTTGAAATAGTGGACCGAAAAATAAAAATAGTTTTGCAAATTATATTATGTGCACGCGCAACGGTAAACGGCTGTGATGTAAAATTAATGATAATACATATACTGATAGATTATTTAGGATCATAGAAAATGTGTCGCTAGCTTTGTTGCTGTACTAACTACTTCTATAGGTTGTTTTCCATGCCTAGCCAGTTACTGCTGAGACCAGACTACAACCTGTTTTAAAATACTAGTTAGCCGGGTACAAAGCAACACAGAAGCAGATATAGATATTAACAAAAAAAGACTACGTCCTAGATTTATTAACACCTTAAAAAATGGTTCGGAAAAATGTACAACAGGTGACAAACCTTTGAACACTTTTAAATCATTATCAGATCTGCTTAGTTGGTATATAGGTAGCGAGATTACAACGAAAAAATTCAAATGACCATCGTTTCTTGGCGGGAACTTTTATCAGAGGCTACTGTTTCCTTTTCATGCGGGCGTTTTTTACGCACAACTCTGGGGAGGAATGGTTCGCCTTCTTGAGCTGCTTGAGCCATATGTAAAATAATCGTTTCTGGTCACTCCCAACTGCATAGCGCTTTAACAACTTCCCTTATTTGCGTTAACTTCGACATATTACCCCATCCTTAAAATCTGATACGGCTGCGTAAGCTGTTGAGCGATTCTCAAAGGTCTGTCAGGATCGGGGAAGAACTCTTCGAACCATTCGATATCAAATGAGGCTTCAGACAAGGCGACCAGTTTTTGAGTGAATGGATGTTGCGGAAGATTTACGGTCCTTTGTGAGTTGGCAATGACGAATACGACAGTCGATGGAGCGATGCGATACACGACGCCATTGACATAGTTAAGCGAATTAAGAGACAAAGGCCACCTGAAAGTAATCGACGTAGTACCCGTCGCGGGAAGTAGAAAAAGAGGAAGACCTTCACTCCGTTACAAAGACCAGGTTGAGAAGGACCTGGCTACGGAATCCCCAATTGGTGCCAAACAGTGAAAACTAGGTAGACCGATCAGTTTGCCCGATAAATTAGTAGCGTTTTGTGGGGAAAGGGGCGACAAAAACTTAATTTCCAGTTCGCGTTTATACAGACAGACGGTTAGACAGACGGTCACGGCTAAATCGACTCAGCCCGGCCCGCTTATCGGTTATTAATTTATTTTGCAAGGATTCAAAATTACAGGAGAAATTGCAATAGTATTTCCTTTCGACCATTTCAACAACTTGAGTGCGCCCCGTTACCGCACATTAGACACATTCATGCATGCATTTAACATGGCTATTACGTCAGTCGAACAGTCATGACCCGCAGGCGTTAAGCCAAAGCTACGAAATTACAACAACAATGGAAACGAAAATGCATAGAAACAGTAATAAAGCACTCTGTCAAGTTGCCTTGGTAATGAAAGCTGAGCGCTGAAGTGTAAGAACTTTGGTCGAAGCACAAACTCAACAGGGTGGGGTTGTTGGTTGTTACCAGGCGACCACTCGGCACGCAATCACTGAGGCGTTTAAATTTAATAATGAAAAAATGTATAATTTCCTCTGATGGATTAATTGTGTACCGTCTTGTGCAAATATTGTTATAACGGTAATGCTCATATGTTTCATCATGTGTACTTAAACAACAATAACAACAATAACCAACACCAAAATTCAAGTACATATTTTGGCATGGTCGCCAGATTGTGCCCCTAACGGATATATATACATATGTGTGTGGAATACGTAAGGGGTCTTTGCTCTTTGCCATATTTGCCTTCGGGCAGAACTGGTTGCCGTAAAAGGTTTATCAACCGCACAAATTCGATGCATGCAAATCGCGATTGAGGCAATTAAAGCAGTAGCAACGGTAAATAGCACAAAGAAAGGTAAAACCGCAGTACCGGATTGGTGAAGTTGGAGCAAGGCAATATGATGATGGTAAGAACATCATGTTGGATAAAACGGGCAACACCGGGCTTTGATCTGGCAATCCTCTGATAAGCTTCGAAAGCTACATATGCTTTACATATTCATGTAAAGAAGCAGCTGCAAAACAAGTAAACACCAACAACAACAACGTTCTTAGCGCTGTGGGTAAATTTGCATAAAGTGAGAGAATGAAACTGTCCGTTCCCCTTGTTCTCTTAAATTTAATACGTGTGCGGCCCAAAAATACAAAAAAGGAAGAGACCTGCTCGTTTCCATTTTCATAGGTTCGAATTTGGCTAAGGGTGCCTTTTTGCAAAGTCATCGAGCGAGCTAAAGGCCAGTATAACAAATCTGATATCGGAGTGATGAACATCTCCCTAAAAGTAACCGCACTTCGGACAAGTGCATTTGTTGCTACCTTGATAGAAAAGAAAAAACACGAAACGCTCACTGCGGCTCTTCAGATACTTCGCCGCATCCACATACATATCCCTAGGAGGTATGCCGTTTTGAGAAGCTATGCCAATGGGTCTTAAATGTAGAATGGCATTTGGTGCCATAATCGGTTTTATACCTAGTCCACTACTGATATTAATAAAAGTAGCTCGTTGAACATAATCTACCTATTAAGTGAGTGTGGTCTTACCGAGCGCCCTCTACCAGACAAATACACCACACAAAGTTATTGGCATAACTACGATTATTCAAACTGAAGCACAACCTTTAGTAAGAATTCCCACAACTTCCCAATAACTCCTTTACATCAATATAAGGCAACTAATTCCTTCCACATTGGTCTTCCACGATAGCTTTCTATACCACCAGCAATATATAATCAGTTCTGTTTTACATGAATTGATAGCTGCAAACTGTCCCTTATGCTTCCCTTATCTTAACGCATAAATGGTATCCAGGATTTTTTCTTTAACTGTGAGAGCAAGCTTATCTGCATAGACTATCACCCGACAGCCTCGTACTCTCCTTCGTAAATGTAATATGTATTAAAGAAATTATAAAATGGGACAGAAAACTCGGAAATAATGAAAGAATGCACCCTTCAAATCTTCTGAATTGTATACACCATTACCAAACACGAGTTCATAGTATTCGCTCGTAGTCAGGAATTTTGCCATGAAATTTCCTGATTTGCCATAGATTTCACAAATACCCTTCCATCTGCAGCATATCATAGCTCGATTGACGTGTCAAGTATTTGACATTTTAAAGTTGCCAACAGCAGAGGGCTGAGAATGATAAGCACAAGCGACATTACAACGACGATTTGACACAGTGCGCACTGGCGACCGGGGCGTATGAGTGATGTGAAATTCATTCGCTTTGGGCTCACGTTCGACACATGTATTACGTTAATATATACTATACATATATATACAATGTACTTCTGATGCAACACCATGTGTGTGTTTATAATACTGATGTGAATTTCACTTAGCAAGCGTAGGTGATAATCAATAATAATTAGATATCGTTAATAAGCAACACATGGCGTTGAAGTCATGATATCTGCATATACACTTTTGCATGTGTATGGGTGCATTCATTTCAATAATAAACGTTCATGTAAGCTCATGGGTATTTAAGGTGCATTAAGTGGCATACTGCTTTGTTACATAAAATTAGCGATTACAAAATGTTTTAGATCAAGGCATAGCAGATATGTATATCGACAAGTAAATTAAATTAGCTGCTAGTTAGAGTTTAAGGCAATCCTTATCAACATTTGGTCTTATAAGTGTATAATTTAAATGAATAATAAGATACTGACAATCCTGATAAGTCACAAGTCACAACTCTCCCTTTGATTCCCGAAGTGAGTACAATAATATAAGCTTAGAATAGCTATTATTATTTAGCTACATTTTATACAAATAACAGTAAACTACAAAACTATGCGTTTCGCTGCTAGTTTTTCTAAAAATCAGCAAAATACGGTTTATTTGTTAGCTGGTCTTTCTAATAACTCTCATTCTTTTTATTGTCTCTAGCTGCTATAGGCTTAAAAGCCTTCCTTCAGTATAGTAAGACAAACTAATTTTCTAAGTAATATGGGGTCAACAAAAAAAACTTATCCCTTATTCTAACAACCAGAAAGAAAAAGATACCTGCTATTGCAAAAAATCCAAAGACTTATGGCAGCACGATATATGTCATCGTTAGGTTAGGTTAGATGGCTGATCAAAGATGCCATAGAAAAGAAGAACTCCTATGTTTGAACTTATACACTAGCAAAACGCTTAGTACCCATTACAATTTTGGACAGGCGCTTAATTTCTATTTCAGTCAGGCATGTCTGAAGATATGTGCTCAGAAGTGTTTGAGTCTTGACCTCCGAAATGCGGGACGGTCAAGAAGGAAGTGTTGAGTCGTTTACACCTCATCTTCTTGTATACAGCTTCTGCAGATGACAGCCTTATTGCGTGAACGCTAATAGGGCAAAGTCATACAACTAAGAAGAGGCTAGCCTTACTGAGGTCAAGGTGATCACAAGATCTCTTGCGATCGATCTGGTTCAGAGGCTAGACCAGCCCTAAACGCTCTGTTAATGAGTTCAGGGCTAGTATCACCGCTCTGCTATCTGAGTGGATGGTCACTTCTCTGAAGGAGATTGCACTCCTGAGCAATACATCCACTGTTGCTTTAACAGCTGGAAAACACTGCACACAGTAAACTCCTTCACTAATCTTCCCCCAAGCTATGACCTATCCGTAAAGAAGCAAACTGCCCCTCTCATCCAACGGCTTCTTTACACCCACAACTTCCTCGCCGATATAGGGACAGAGAAGGAGACGTCAGAGGTCGGTCCATGATCCAAGTGATCCAGTATGAAGCCAAAGTAAAGTGAGTGGGAATTTCCGAGTGTTCAGACACATTATTTTTTAGGAACCCATTTTTTCTGAGTCTGATAGCAACGTTCACAGCCATACGCACTCTGACGATGTCTGCAGGCAATATGTGCAAGATGGCTTTAAGTGCCATGGTTGCAGTAGACCTTAGTGCACCACACATGCTGATGAGCCCAGCTCATTGAACGTTCTCTGATTTTTTTACTTGTGGTGTTTTCTAGAGCCCTCCACTACATAAAGGATCCACAAAGCATAATGGGCTTGACTATGTCGTAAAGCCAGAAGACCACATTCGGTGCGAGACCTCACCTTTTTTCAATGGTTCCTCTACGGATGTACAAGCAATCGAAACTTTTTTTACTCTCTCTATGATATACGGCTTCCATGGAAGCTTACAATTCAGCAGGAGCCCTAGATATTTCATTATATTCACCGGTTGCAGACGGTTGTCTTATATTTGCGGCACCGGTTGCACCGGGATTTTGTATCTTCTACAACTCAGGTACTCAGGAACTTTCTTTTGACATAGGCAATCGCCCGACAGCCAAGATATTACATTCAGGTCGTTAACGACCAGGATCCATAGAAGAAGAGACAGAACTTAACTCTCTCCGTATTCACAGACTTACTTTCACAATAAGCATGTTGCGCTCCTGATAAATGATCCCTCGGAATGCGCCTCCCTATGTACCAGTCCATCAGTTTCTCGAGAGTTGCTTGTTAAAAAGATTAGAGGCTGATGGGCCTGAAATCCTTGGTCGTAACGTGGGAGCCGCTGACAGCCTTCGGGATGAACGTAGCTCTGACTCGTATCCAGGTCGCCGGGATGTAACTCAGTCTTATGAAGTTCGCATTGATATGTGCCAACCAATTACTTAAGACCTTAACAGCCTACAAGCCTATAAAGATATATTAAAAATGAATCTCGCTCAAAGTCTCCTAAAGTTTCATTATTTTGTAAGTTTTTTCTAGAAATTTCTTTTTCCTATAAACAATTGCCACTTATGCATGGTCAGATGCTTATTTTTTGGTGTTACAAACTTTGTAATAAACTTTATATACAATGTTCTTTACACCTGACTCAACATTATTTCTTTGGACAATCGCTACGTCCAAGTAAAGCTGGTGTTTTTCAAAATATCAATTTTTCACTTTATCAGAAAACTTTGAAGGAAAGAAGTTATTGTGAAAAATTGGTTAATTTGCTATTGTAAAATAAAAAAAATATTAACATATATATTTTAGTTGTGGAAAAAAGGACTTTATTTTGAACCTCTGATCGTGTTCATGAAACAGCGACATCTTTGTCAATTTTGCTCCCATTGACAGTAAATAGGCACAACATTTATATAAAAAAATTTTAAATCTTGCTCTTTCCTTAAAACGTAATTTTCCATGAATTAAAAATATTTTCACAGATTATATTGTAGAAAAAAGAATATAATTTTAGAAGTTTAGTTCCTAAAGAAATATCCTTTAGACAATTAGGAACCGCAAGGGACCAGCGTTGTAATTAAGTGAGTCAGCCACAATTTATTTTTGTGGAAATTTATACGACTATTAGCATTATAGAGTAGTGTCCACCAAACTATTGAAACGGGAAATAAATATTTGTAAATAAATTCTTTATAAAATTTCATCATAACATTAATTCAATTTTATTTTATTTTAACTCTCAGGTAACCATAGGCCGGCGCATCGGTCTTTACAGATTTTGCGGCGATATTGGACGTGGCAACTTTTCCAAAGTCAAATTAGCTGTACACCAACTAACACGCGGTAAGCGCTCGAGGTTTTGATAATGATATAGTGGCCTTTTTGCAAGCGAGTATGCAAAGAACGTAAAACTCTAATAAAAACAACATTAAGTGATTTTACAAAAATGTTTACATCTATTTCCTATTTCCAAAGATCATTGAAGTCAATTATTAATGAGTATTCTTTTGTCGCTCGCTTTAAAAAAAGACATGATGCAAAAAGAAGAATTATGAGCTTGTCTTACAACAAAACCACCTAAAAGTAAAAAATGCAGACTTCACAAAGTTCACCAAACATTTCTAACGTTGCATGTTTCGAAGCTTCACTATGTTCCACAAAAAATGCTCATAGACTTGTCCTCCTCACTCAAATCACATATCCATTAAGTCGAGTACCATTCATGTAAATGCCAAAGCCCGCACAATCATTTGTTGTTCAAGGCTCAGCCGAGAAAAAGCTGACTCACTTCTGACTTTGTGTGTCTTTCCACTCTTTTATTCTTATTCACTGTGATTGCCATTTTTATTTCCTTTTTTTGTTTTTGTTTTGCAGACAAAGTGGCTATCAAAGTAGTTGACCGTGGTGGCTTGGATGCGAAAGCGTTGCGTATGCTCTCCAGTGAAATAGCAACGCTCGAATGCGTACATCATCCCAATATTTTAAGGTAAGAAGGCGAAGCGGGCGGAAAATGATAGGGTACTGTGAAAAAAGGGGTAAAGAGACTATATGAAACACATGCCAATTGGTGTGTATTTTTACTCGCACACTCTGTCAAATAAGTAACTTGTCTTTTGCGCCCACGTCATGAAATATATTTATGGTAATGGAGTGGAAAACGAAATATGGCACAGATAGCGACAAAAATTATTATGTCGCAGAATACTTTAAAGTGGTCGACATTTAGTTCTAGCGAATTCGATAAAAAAAACTCCAGGATCTGCAAAGACTTCTCAGAGCCGTTCGATACTAAGCGAGATTTTAGACAAGGGAACTCCTTATCGTGAGACATACTCAATCTGCAGCTGGAAAGTAATTCGAGCTGCAGAGCTTAGAGCTAAGGTACAGTTTTCTACGAGAGTGTATAACTGCTGGGGTATACAGAAGGCATCCATATCATTGGCCATAACAACCGCGACGTTAATTCTGCTTAATCCAGGTTGAACAAAGGAGCGAAACAAATGGGACTTCGGACTGACTAAGCTATTAAAAAAAAATTCTCTCCCGACGAACAAAACCCAAACTCTACAATTCCCTCATTATTCCCGTCTTGCTATATGGTGCGGAGGCATGGACAATGATCCTCTAGGCTTCTTAGTATTCGGGACAAGAGTTTTGTGGAAGATTTAACGTCCTGGCAACTTCGAGTACCGCAGTCGATGGAACGATGAGCTGTACGAGATATACGGCGACATTGACAGCGAATGAAGAGGCTGAGGCTGCGACAACTAGATCATGTTGTTCAAGTGGATGACAACACTCCGGCTCTGAGGGTGTTCGACGCAGTACCCGCCGGTAGTAGCAGAGAAAGAGGCTTAGTTGGAGAACAACCTGGCTGCGCTTGGTATCTCGCATGGTGTCCAAAAGTGGAAAGAAGAAACGACTGGCGCGCTATTGTTAATTCGGCTAAGAGCGCATAACTGATGTCTCAATAGTAGAGCAGATGCAGAAGTTGCTTTTCAAATAATTCAGTCAAGATTTCGGCAATCAATGCGATATTCTTAAAAAATTGTATGAAGATGTTGCTTTCAATGGGCATAGAGCATGACGCATTGCCATCGAGAGCTATTGCACTGTTCCAATAATCTTTGCCAAAGAAAGAAACGAATTAAAAACAGGTTTTTGGAGATAAAGGCTCTAGTCCTACAATTCATACATTTTTTTAGTCAGTCGACCCTGACCTCAGTCAACTGTTTCACAAAAACAAAAACCGTTACTTATTTGACAGAATTTGTTTGAAAACAATCTCTTCTTATATGAGAGTGTGTGTACGCCTATATGGTACAGAAACATTTATATATGAATATATTACGGCTCCCTAGCCTTTGCAAGTTACAGCATCCAATGCATCGGTCTTGAAGAAAAATCGAGTAAAATGAAAAATAACAACGTAACGCGCAGTGGCATAAAAATCTGACGTTGACTCTGCCACTTTGCTGTTTCCTCCCGCTTTTTCATCCTATTGCGCTGCTCTGCACCGCACCAGCCTTTATATACATATACATACATATGTATAGTGCAAACAAGTACTTGTTGTATAAGTTTAAATTTTTTTATATATTTTTTTTCGCTTTTATCTTTGACGCAGACTTTTCGAAGTGGTGGAGACTTTGGGACGTGTATATCTTGTCACCGAGTGGATACGCGGCGGCGAGCTCTACAATCACATCACCCAGGGTGGCCCGCTGCGGGAGATACACGCTGCGCCCTTGTTCAAGCAGCTGTTGTTAGCCGTAAAACACATGGTAAGCAGCTGGCAATTATATTTTACTTTATGTTCTGTACAGGCAATCGTAGTAGTCTGCCAGAAAGCAGTCAGCTAGCGACGACCAGCCGGCGGCAATACGAAAGGACACACTGAGTGGAGCACTCGGCCTGCCATGTGACGGTGTTAGCGACCAGTTGTCCATTGAATTGCGATTTGTGTTTTCTGTCACTGTACTTATTGCCCAGTTTACCTTCAAGGCTTCCCCCTCTGCTGTTCACTCACAAACATTTTGTATTTATTTTTGTTTTTGTATGTTTCGCGCTGCTTCCGTCTACGCCTGGCGTTTGGTGATAAATTACAGCACAGCTTGGGCTTTGTGCATCGCGATATTAAGGCTGAAAATGTGCTACTGCTATCAGAGGATCGCTTGAAGCTGGCTGATTTCGGTTTTAGCACACAACTTATCAATGGTGAGTGACAATGGTGTGCTGGTGGTATATATGCGTTTGTTTGTATGTAAGTGTAAAGAATTACAATTTCTTCCCAACAAAGTTGCTTTCAATAACGAGGGCTTATTTGTGTGTAAACAGTGCCAATGGATGGCCAATGCGAGAAATATTTCAGTTATTAAAATACTTCATAAAGCTTTGTTGTTGCAAATAATTTATGTACCTGGACCTCGGTTTATTTGGTTTAAGTTATGAGCAAATGAAATATTCAGAACATTATTAAAATTTTTTAAGATAAATTGCGGAGTCGGTTGAAAGCTCAGCACTTAAAATAACTTTGAAGTATGTGTTTTAAAAACGCAGTGTTATAGCTTGATGCTAGGTATATTAATCCGCAATGTGATAAAGTCTGCAGATTCTTAATGAGTTAAGTATCCCTGAAGCAGTAGAGCAGTTGCACTGTGATACATTGGTTATTTTACCCCCCTGTTCAAGCTTCTACAGTCATGAACATCTCTGATATTTGAAAGGGTTTTCAAGAAGACAAGTGATCGTCGCAGCTGGCTCTTCAATCACTTTTTGTAGCATTTGAGGCCGTATGTCAGAAATAATGCGCAGAATATTATCTTCCAAGATGCCAAGCTTAAATGCATAATCGAGCATTACTGCATAGACAAACAACTTCAAGTAACGCCCCATCAAACAGTCTTAAGTCGCACGACCTTGTAGACCACGACATACGCCGACTGGAGGTAATGCGCTCATCAAATTCCTTTTAATATATTGATTATTTCGTTGGTGATATGACATGTAGCGCCATCTTGTTGGACCTAAAGACTAGCCTTACCATGAGGTTATATTGATTCGTTTAAACTTCATTTTCTTTTCCATTTATTGGGAACGAAGTGCCCACAGTTGGAATCCTAACCAGTTTCAATGAGTTTATTTTGAACCACCTTTTGCATCACTTTCAGTTGAACAATTCTATTCGTTATCTACCATTTTTGTTTCTTCATCTTTTGCTCACTTATTTGAATAAAGTTGTCCTTAACACTATCCATTTGCTTGCCCTTGTCATCAGCTTGTCAGGACATCAGTTCAAAACTACGTTTGGGGCAAAGTATAGTAGAAAGAACGGAGTTACAACTTACAGCTCAGCCAAGCATCACTAGCAAAATTCATCACAACTACATCACAGAGACGTGTGAAGGACTGATTTGGGTCTTCCTCAATTGATGCACTAGCAATAGCAATATTCTCGACACAGCGGGCACTTCTTTGTCCCACTGACACATGAACTGAACATTTTGTTCTGGACCTGTGAACTCAAATCTTTGCTCTAAATGCTCAATTCTTTATTTGACAGGACGATTATGATGACCATAATTTGGACGTAGTGCTCGTAAAGTTGAGGCTACTGACTCTGAATTTCAGTAGCAAATTTTAATAATTTCGACTCGGAGTTGGAAAATAAAATGGCAAGCCTTACGGAAGGAAATGTCAAAAGAGCGGGAAAACATATGGCGTCGTTTACTGTCCCTATCCGTCTACTTTTGTAACGCTTCTTTTGAAAACCTGAAAGAAGGATAATGAGTTTATATTTGTCTCTCTCTATTTCTATAAATATTTGTGAGTATTTGATTTTTCTAATTCTTTTATTTTCCAACCTCACACGTGTAGGTGCCAATCAGAAGCTGGACACATTTTGTGGTTCGCCCCCGTATGCTGCTCCTGAACTGTTCTCCGATGATCACTATGTCGGCGCGCCGGTGGATGTTTGGGCGCTTGGTATTTTGCTTTATTTTATGGTTGTCGGTAATATGCCATTTCGGGCGCCCACCATACCGGGCCTGAAAGCGGCGATATTGAAAGGAGACTACCTGCTGCCCGGACAATTGAGTTTACCATGCATAAGACTTATCCGTAAGTATCTGTTAATGGTGCAAATAAAGTTAATTTGTAAAAAGTATGTTGAATTGTGTCCATATTCGATTCGACAAGTATGTAGTTACATTGCATGCATCTCATAGATCGATATTAATAAGTTTAAGCTTGCATGATAACCTAATTTCTTTTTGCGCTCCCTTCTGTCACAATGAAGCACAAATATATACTAGTAGACCGTTCGATGCTATTGAGATGGTGTGATCTCCTTGATCTTGCATCTAAAGACTCTTTAAAAGTTTTCGGCTCCATGTCGTAGAACCACCAGTTTACTAAAGAGTGTATAATCCAGTTAAATAGTTTCTTCTTGTGCCTATAGTGACCATTGTAAAATGCCAGAAGTAGCCAGAATTTGTGTCTCAGCAGATCGATTACGCTTTTAAACCTAGTGAAGTTGTACATACCGATTAACAACTTTTCCTGTAGTTGCCAACAATTTGCTCATACTGTCTTTACGAAGCAACTCCTTTACGGTAAGTGGCCCAACTGCAATGCAGGATTTCGGTACTACCATCCTGAATGCAAGTGCAGAGCGGGTATGTTCTTCAATCATTTTTTTCCCAGCTACCTTTTTGTGACCCATCACCCAGATGAGGTGTACTGGATTGCGAACTCATAAGCGTAAGCATAACGCTAAGCTGAGATCGCTTTGACTGCTTGGGCCGCTTGACTACCAGAGTTCAAGATGACTTCTAGTGCTGCCGTCGGGCACGTACTTCTGATAAATTTTAGTCCTTTGGCTTATCCGTTCATTTATTATAAATGTAATATTTTTAATGTTTGATAAACATATTTTTATTACTCTACTTTCAGAACGCATTCTCATCCACATCCCCGCACGTCGTCCCACCATTGACGATATGCTCACCAGTCAATTCGTTTGCTATCCAAAACTCAGCGCCGAACTCATGCAATATGAGATCAATTTACGAACGAAGCCCGTCAAGCGCTCCGGTTTCTGGGTGCGCTCAAAGTCACGACGCCTGCGCAAATCGTATTCATTGCGCGAACGCTACATGGAGGTAACCAATAAGCCGCCTATTAATATGAATGCACGCAAAAATGACGGTGTATTCGTCGATAATTTTTTACATCCGATCGAAATCAATCGTGATCTGCCCAACGAACTGTCGAAAGAACCATCAAAGCCAAACACGCCAAAACGTTCTTTCTTCTGCGGCACGCTAAAGAAGAAAGTTAGCCCAATGGAATTGGAGAAGGAACGGCATTTGGCTAATGGTAACAGTTGTGAGAATCGTCAATGGAATGCAGATGTAGTCATCGATTGTCCGCTTTTCAAAAACTACGATGCTGAAACGGGAGATTTTATCATGCTGCCAACGGATACCGATGACTTGACATTAGTGAAACCGCTAGAATATGAGGCGCGTCAGCTGCTTGACGAGCTGGGCGTCAACTCTGCAATGTTGCGTGCCTCCATACAAAATGGTCCACGTAGCGATATAATCGGCACTTACCGAATTATTGTGAATCGTCTGCAAAAGCAGTCGTGGTTGGCGCGAAAGCATGTCGAGCTGGCGCTACAAGAGATGCCAAAGATGGAGAAGAAAATGGAACGCTCATGCTGCATACTTTAAGGTGTACAATATTCATGCGTTTACTGCTTTCTCTCTCTCTCTCACTTCCACTACACAAAAACACTACTTGTGCTACTCACAAACTTCCATAAACTCCTTGTCTCTCTCATTTCCTCTCAAACTCTATCTCTCTCTCGCTCTCTCTGCGTATCAGCGCATTTGGCTCTGCCTATTCTTCTGTCTAAGTAATAGTAGATATTAATTAGTTGCATCTATATCTGTCCTGTGACGTGTATCTGACACGTGACAAGCGTCAAATGACTGCATGTTTATTGGCATTCATAAATACATACGAAAACGTAGTTGCGTTGAAACTGTGTAAATGTGTAAGTAGTGATTTCAGTCACTGATCTCGGAGATACCTACTCAGTAATCTCATTTCGCAGAAAAAACTGAAGTGAAACGAAGGTATATAATACGTTAGTCGAATTTCATAGCTGTAGTTCTACTATAATAGACACGTAAATATTAGTCAAATTGATAAATAACCGTTAGCTGAATGTACTCGCTCTGTTTGAACAGCAAGAAAGGCGTATGTTCATATAGACTAGTTATACGTTACACTCGAAGGAAGAAACATAAACACATACATATTTATTATTAATAATATTAGACACACACGCGAATGTGTTAAGTTCGTTATATTTTGTAATTTTATAATTTGTAAAAACTTAGTGTTAATTGTCAAAAAACTTGTATTTTGGTTATGAAATGTGACAAGTGAATATTATAAAAAGTAAAAAACCAAATCTAAGAAACTAAAACTTTGGTCCATTCTTAGTCGCAAATTTGTGCCGAAAATTTATAAAGAAACAATAAATATTTATAAATAAATGTAAATCGAAAAAGGCAGCAAGTATTTTGCATATTTGAATTGTCTCCCATGGAGTCATTTACACACCTGTATAAACATTCAACAGAATTTAGTTTCATAAAAAATGCTGTTTATCGATTAATTATGTTCGTTACGACGATTTTGAATGTAATTCAGTCCAATAAATAAATAACGAAAATCTTAAAAAAAATGTTTGAATTAGCATTTTCATTTTTTATTTATTTATAAAAACTCAGGTGTAATCGAACATGTCATACTCATGCAACTTGCCATAATCAAAGCCGAGGAAATATTTAAATACAAAACTTTATTCTAAAGATGTTACAAAATAATTCCACATACTTTGCTAGACAAACTCAATAATGAATTAAAGGGTGATCTTTATTATAATGCGAAAGAACATTCTTTGGCATTTATTTTTTGAATATTATCTCTTTAAAATTTTGGCCGCGACTCAATCGAGCACTTCGACTGGTAATTGGTGAATGACACACGTGATGTTTTACTCTAAGGCCCGCATAGACTTTACATAACCCACAGGAAAAAAGTTTAAGTTAAAGTTTCTTGGTGGCTAATCGACCAGAAACCACACCAAACCGTTGTGTTTTTGGCTGTCACACTTGAATCTCTTTAGGTTGCTCTTCGTCCCAAACGCAGAAATTTTGCTTATATAATACCCATTGAGCTATAAATGGGCTTATGGCTGAACAAAAGTTGGCTTGGAACTTTTCAAGAGCCCATAGAGCGAACCGATGTTGCTTGGAATGGTCAAGGTGCTTCAGTTCTTATACAAGCTGTATTTTGCACGTTTTCAATTTATTAGGTCGACATAAAATGCGCCAAGTCATTCTATACGTTGGTCTGAGTTACTACGAAGTTGGAAAAACTGTGCGAAACACATACTTTACAGAATTTTCACAGCTGCTCCGATATCGGCCATTACGACAAAAGAGTAGGTCTTGGTGAGAAAACGACTTGGGCAAAATTTCAGTCGGGTGTCACAAAACATATAGATGGGACGGTTTGGGATTACAGATCTAAAATCTTCTTTTAAATCAAAATTGTTCAATTAAACAATTCCTAACCCTGGTTTTTTGTAAGTTTTGATAGCGAAAATGAGGTATATCGGTCATTTTCTTTACTCATAAGCACTAAATAAAAAGGTTAGTATCCAAACGTATTGCTAGCTCTATCCAAAAACGTTATTTGATATCAAGAAAAGACCTGCCGGATTAAATTTACTTTGTAAGGACAACAAATATTTTATAAAGATCTATATCTTGAATTAATGGTCCAGTTGGTACGACAGTACAATCGTTTACTATAGAGATGATATGAACAATACATTCAGATGTTATTTTCGTAGAGATATATAGTCAAATAAAAGAGTTTTCGCAAAAGGACTTGATCCAATATCGACGGTTCTGACAAATGAGCAGATTCGTAGGGAGGAAAGGGTAAACGGACATGGCTAAATCGATTCAATTCGTAACGCTGATCAGTTGCTTACATATATGGCACCTCTATTTTATAGGACGTTTTTTTCTTTCGTTTATTCTGTCGAGGGTATAAAATTCAGAATGTTCGATTTAAAACTTCCTGTAATAAAGGGTGCTGAATTCAGTGTGGCACGTTTATGCCGAAAGCGTAGCATGTATCAGAGGAGTTATATATTAGTTTTACAAATTCCGACCAGTCACTGCTCAATGAGCATCTAAAAAGATGTGTGATAGGAATATTCCAGTACTTCTTTTATTTTGGATTGCCAAGCTTTCTAAGGGCTTTGATTGAAATATCTTGGTTGACATAGTAGTTCAGTTGGAAAAGCAGCATTCAAATATAGTATTCACAAGAGATAACGGGTTCAAAAGCTGCCACGTTCCCAAAAAACTTAAATATTTTAATTTATTTACATGATTAGGAACCGAGTCCGAGTTTTTAACAAAAGTCGCGCTAATCAAAAGTAATCTAAAGGGGATTCCCATAATTAGATTTTGAAATTGAATACCAAGGCAGGGTAGAGAAACTGTCAGAACCTTTGGTTTTATACTATGTTAAACAAGGTCATAGTCCATTAATTGAAATAGAAACCACTTATTTTCTATTTATCGCTCCTCCTTAGAAGCGCTTGTCATTACAATTAAACATTCCATACACGTATTCGAATCATATCAACCGAGGAAAATTGGAATGACTGAGCGCAATTTCATATTTGCCGTGGAAGTGTGCCTTATGATGGCACAAATATGACAGACAGCACTTCATCAAAAGGCATAACAGCGCCAGCACTTAAGATACAAAAAAAAAATGCATACTTATGTGAGTGTCCACAGTTCCTCCACAAAATATGTTTACTTAAGTGGGAACAATGAATGTGTAGCTCATTTATACCTGCCACTGAAGTGTTTTGGTGGTGGCAGCAATGAAAAGATAAGCCAAAAAAGGCAAAGCACAGATGACAAAAAAAATGCCGGCCAGTCATGTATATATAATATTGGCACGCAAGATATGTAGAAGGGTCACTGGCAGACGTGAGTTGAATGCCCAACAGTTTGCTCCAAAATGCTGCCTCGAGCAATGAAATCAAATGAAAATGACTACACGTTTACGGAAATCTGCCAAACATCATTAATTTTGAATTTGACTTCCGGTGGCCCAGTTGGCTTCACTGCACAACGGGTCAGCTCGGTCACCTGATTACCGAAGCTTAGATCAACGGGCGGTAGTGTGTACGTGTCATGGTGAAGAATAAAAGAAGCCAGTCACAACTAGACGGTAGATGGGCTGAAGTGAGTCTATGATGAAACCTGTCGATTTTACGCACCATGCTCTGATAACTTCCGCAGTTGTCAGTAAACATGCTCACAAAATGCCCTCCAACGATTGCCGGTTACAACTGAAATACAAAACAAGCAGCATGTGATTGCTATGCCTGCGAATATACAAGTATGTACTCTTATATTTGTAGGCATGTATGGAGGCATGTGCGAAATCGGTATCATATCTAGGTGAAATTGCAATGAAATGCGCTCCGAAGTACAAATTTTTTTTGAAGTGATATCTATATTTTGAACTCGATAAGTGGGAGACACATTCAAGAATAAGGTCTCCCCTATCTTGGAAAAACAAAATGAAAAAATCCTGACTTTACTTTTAATGTTGATTTGTTGCTAACTTACAAAATGAAAAATCGCTTATTTTATTCGCTGGATCAAAGTGTCTTTAGGCAAAGGATCGAATTAAAAAGATGTAGACGGGACGCACAGGCTCCTACGGATCTAACTGATTAAAAATTGGTTTATTTTTTACTTTATGCATACAGTTTTAGAGCATATGTTGCTACCTGATCAGACCTTAAAATCTCAACTCGCAGTTTTCAGGTAAAAAAAATAACCTTGCCTTTAAAAATAAATGGTTTCATTCCCACTACAATCTTCTCTAATTTGCAAAATTATGCACTAAGAGTTTGCTCGGCACCAGTAATCATTACTTTGCTGGCTCTGAGATCGCATGTATACACGTGGTCTTCACACACGCTTATCGATGAAGCAGTAACAAAGCTTTATGTTGCTGCAGCTGCTATAAATCCAGCGACCAGCACGTTGTATCAACATTTACATAACGGTTCATAGTCCAAGTAATGTCCTCACGCATAGGCGATGATATATGTATATACTGCCCTTGTGAAAGTCATAAAGAGTAAAAGCTGATTTGATGAACCTGCTAGCCATGATATGCCTCTAACTCGTTGAATGATTACAGAGTGAGTTCGTAGATGAGTATTAGTGGTATGCAGCATAGCATAAAAGCTATTTTATGTGATTGGAAAATAATTTCTCGAATGCGGTAATTGCTGAACTCCTTTCAGAGTTTTGATGAAAAATCTTATGCTATACAAGTACGGTTATGCTGACCCCAATTTTTGAGATAAATAGTTGATACTACTGAAATTTCTCATCCAATGTTTGTACGAAGTTCATCAATCGTCGCTGGCTTGCTAGCATAGACCATAGACTTGACATAGCCCTACAGGAAATTGTTCAATCGGACGATCGATGCGGCCAAGTGACTGGGACATTTCGTGATATTCGTATTCGTGCCAACAATATTCAGTTATCATTGAGCAGTAGCGACCCCCGTTCACAGTAAAGTGCTGGTTTTGATTATCACGTAAGAAATACGCTCCAATGAGTTCGCCGGCTTATAAACCGCATCGTAATTTTTTCGCACTGCAAGGGGGACTCATGGAATACATTTAGATTGCTGCCTGATCAATAACACATATTTTGCTTATTGACGAAGCCATTCAGCGAGAAATGAGCCTAACCGCTGAAGATGATTTTTCGATGATAATCCGGATCATTTTCAAGTTGTTGCTCCCCAATTCACGAAAATACGACGATTCTGGTGGTCAAGTAGCTTCAGTTCTTGCGTGGATTTGATCTCGTAAGGATGTAGGCCAAGATATTTTCGCAACATTCGCCACAAGAGAGACTGATTTGGGTCTGCCTCGAATTCAAACTTTTCCACTACACTGTAAATTGTTGATTATAACAACCATAAATTGGACGTAGCGTTCTTAAAAGTCCGAATTTCGGTAATAAATTTTAATAATTTCGACTCGTTGTTGGACTCACGGTATTAAACCCAGTAGGGAATAGATCTACTCTGTGTGACCTCCGAATAATATGTTTTAAGATTTACTCTACAGTTCGTACATGTCCGTCTAACTGCCCGTTTACCTATATATACACGAACAATCGAAATCAAGTGTTATGTGGTGATTTAAAGAGGTATATTCAAGAAATTTGGTATGGATTATTGCCTAAAGCCAACGTTACAATCTCCGAAAAAATTGTTCAAATCCAGATGTTAGTACATATAACTGTCTTACAAGCTGAACGATTAAAAAAAAAGTTCATGCAAGGAATTTTTCGCAGTTGCGAGGCGAAGTTTATTAGAGCTTCGATGCAACGGAAGTTAACGTTTATTTTTATTTTTAATGCATTACTAAAAATATTATTGACACATAAAAGGAGCTGAGTTCAATATACGTATATTTTATATAATAACCTTCAAATGCAGGTATGTGCATATGTATGTTAGTGCGTGTCTAAAGGTTCATAAATATTGACTACCATAAATATCACAATTTATACACACATACCCAAGGATATTCCTCTA